CTCTCTTGGCCTTTTCATTGTGAAACAGGCCCTGACAAGTGAAGAATGTTCCATCTGTCAGGTGGTGCTGGTGGGGGCAGCTGGGATGGAGCCTGGGGGTCAGGATGCCCTGAGGAGGGGCGTGGCCCTCCCCATGCTGGCTGTCGGACTCTGCTTCTCTGAGCTGCAGCATCCTCACGTGCCAGCAGGGATGTGGTCCTTGCCTGGCCTCCCTCAGAGGTCGTGTGAGTGACAATGAAATGCACGAATGGGTGTGAAAATGCCAAACCAGCTGTCAAGTGCTCTACATACCGTAGAGGGCCATGTGAAGCCAAGACCTGGTCCTGACTTCAGTGCCAGGACTCTCATTTTTGCCTCCATCTTTTTGGAGGTTGCTGACCCCCCAGGCCCTGCTTGAGTTGGGAGGTGGCGTCTGCCGTGGCTCCTTTTTGAATAGCAGAGAACCACTAGATCCCCCGCAGGCAGGAATACGCTTCTATTCCGTACCACCCGCCCTTAGGAGAGACCTCTTCAACCATTGCTCTCAATTATGGCCTTTTTATTGAATAATAACTCAATTAAAGGTGTGCTTTTTATTGAACATCCCTGATACCTTTATTGGTATTATTAGAGTAACCAGCATAATAATGGGGGACAATTATTTAAATGCTCATTAAAAAAAAACACCTCCGAGCAGAGGGAGAGTAGCATTTCATTGCAGGAGCCCAGTTGCGTGTTGGTTCCCCAGAGTCGCAATAAAAAATGATGTTTCCTCAATGTTTGCAAGTTTCTGCTTCCCTGGAACTTCTAATGCATTAGGCAGGCTGCATTAAAATCCCTCCAGGGTTTTATTACTGCCAGAGTTACACAGAAAGGCATCCCTGAAACATCCACCACAGCCAGGCACAAGGTGGATAATAGAGAGAGAAACAGACAAAGACCAGCCGTAACATGTGCATAGTGATGTGTGGATTTTATAGGGTGTGTCCACAGGTGAGGTCTCACTTGCTCCCCCAGCCCTCTTAGGAGGCAGGTATGTCATTCCCACTCTACTGATGAGGAAACGGAGGCTCAGCGAGGTTAAGTGACTTGGTTGACATCACTCTGCTGGGAAAGACAAGGCAGAGGTATGAACCCACGCCGCTGTCCAGGGTTCCCGTGACAGAGAGATCGCAGGGAGGGTTTTGAATATGAGAAAAACATTAGGGCCTCCCTTCAGAGCCAGTAGCGGAGATCCAGTGTGGGTTTCTGTCAATAGATACTGAAAACGTCTGAGGAAGGAAAAAGGAAGCAAGCGAGCAAGGAAAGACACAGGCCCTGGGTTCTGAGTCTCCAAGACTAATTTAGTGATCAAAATGTAGCCAACATTCCTAGGTCTGTAGGTCAGGTTTGATGTTGTTTCATAAGTCGCTTCAAAATTATCTCGGCATCCACCTATCAGTCAGAACCTCGGGGGCCACCGTGGCTGCGTGTTGGGTCGCATGGATCCTGTCTGGGCCACCGGCAAAGTTGGTACCTGGTGGAGCATCCAGCTCGCCTCTGGGCAGGTGGGCCCTGAGCTCCAGGACGGGGTGGCAGCCCCGAGTCTGATGCAGCCCTCTCACCAACGGTCTTACGCTGCAAGAAGGAGGTGTCTGTGACTGCACGTACCAGGGCTTTAAGATAGCCAACAGCTTTTCAAACAGAAAAATGTTCCGAGTGGCTCTTCAGAGACTTTCTGACATTGTTCGGTTCTCAAAAGCGAGCAGCTCCTGTGCTCAAGGCTACTTCTAGGCAAGAGAGAACCATGAAATGGTAATATGGAAATGATCATTTTCTTTAAAAATAAAGTTACAGAGGAGAGTGGAAGGAGCGTTGTCTAGGAAGGGCCTTGGAGGGCTGGAAGAAATGACGGAAGCTGTCAGATCCTGGGAAGCCTGTCCCTTGCAGTCTTCCGTGCCACACAGGCTGTGTCACCTGCTGTGCCTCCTGCAACAGCATGTAGGGAAGTCTGGGAATCAAATTGGTCCAGGGGTGCAGGAAAATAAAGAGCGAACCCTGGCAGTGAACCCTGGAATCCCATTCGATGGACACACAGAGTTTTTCCCCACCTGACGCTGAATTCCAGACAGCTAACTTCCTCCCTAGGCTGCTCCAAGTTAGAGTTTAGAAGCGTCTTCTGCCCTTCTTATTTATTTATTTTTTAAACAAGAAATGGAAACATCTGAGCTCTTTAAAACATGCAGCTACATGCTTCCAAGCAGCTGCCATCTGAGTTAAAAAAAATTGTTTTTAATCGGCCATTTCACTCCCAGCCTGCCTGGGAGTTCCGCCTTGTCTTCTGATACCCGTTTTCCTCACGGGCAATAGGACTTTCTAGAAAGTGTGTGGCTATCAGAACAAGAAGCAGGAAGTGCTCTGGAGGGACCCACAAGGAAATGAAGATGATGAGAAAAGAGATTAGGGGAAGGGAGGTGGCCTGGCTTAAAAACAGGAGGCACCAGAGCAGCTGTGGGTCAAAACTTGACGGGAGTGTTGAGAGCCGAGTTGAAGGGTACAGGTGTGTCCTTAGTTTGAAGGTCTGTGACCTGTGGGAGGCGGTGCTTCGTCTGTTATTAGCTGTGTGACAGAAAGGGACTGCTTATTTCTCTCCTTATTTATTACACATTCATTCTGCATTGCTCAGAAAAGGATTTGAGGGGGACTCTAAATAGCATGGCTTCTGGCCAGCTCTCCTGTGAGGTGAAGTTCTGTTCCCCATGTACCTTCTCTCATAAGCCAGGAGGTGGTGTCCCCAGGAGGCCGGAGCTTTCTGTGCTAGAGGGGGTGGCAGGAAAGGACGTGTGGGGTGTTCGTGCAGGCTTTCCGCTCCTGCAGTGAGGAGCACTGCTGCCCAGGGCCCTGGGAAGGCCTCCCTGTCTGTTTCCGGGTGGGGACATTCCCCCAGGGGCTCCAGCATGGGGAACTGAACCCAGGTAGCCCAGAGAAAGAATACTGCTTTCAGAAGTTCTTCTGGAGCTTAGTTTTGAAGCAAGATGAAGTTGAACTTCAGAATTTTTCCCTTTCTGTCCTGCTCCCCTGGCTGCCAGTCTCCTCACCACCAAACATGCAGGCAAAATAAGATATGAGTGTGCACTGGTGCCCGTGGAACACCAGACTTGAAAGGCATGTCTTGGTTTCCAGTGGTAGGTGTTCTGGCCCCGTTGGTTCTGGGTCTGCATGCTGCCCCCTGGCCCCTGGCCGGCCCACTGTGTTTCTGAGGCATCGCACACACTGTGTGGGTCGGGGAGGTCCAAGCCCCTTGGGAGATGTCCAGTCTAACATGTACGGGACTCAGGGCGTTTGGTCCTAGAGCCACTTGGTTTTTACTGCTAAGGGTGAAGCCCCAAAGAAACATAGCTTGTGGGTGGAAAACAAAAAATCGGTCTCTGTACGGGATTTCAGAAGTCCTTAATCTTCCGGGGAGGGGCTGAGATGGCCTCTGTCTCCTCCGGCTGCCCGGCTGCGCTCTTCCCTCCCCGTGCTGATGCGGGCTGTGGGAATTAACATGCACGTTTGGCTCCACTAGGGAGTTTGCGGCTACCAGACTTTATCAGCGTTAAAATCTTCCAGGTACAAGAAAGTTTGAAAAAACAAAAGGGGTTTTTCAAGATCGCGGCTGTGATGTCTTGTTCCCTTTTCTTTCCCCGACTGGTGAGGAAATCTGATGGTGGAAGGCAGGGCCTGCCCACACCTGTCCAGTTTACGTGAGGCATGAGGGGAGGTTAAGGCTGGAGAAGTAACCAGTGTCACCTGTGGGCTAGGACCGCGGCTGCAAGGCAGGGTCTGGATGAAATGTCCAGGCTCCCATTTTGTGACTGCCCCAACGATGGACAAAGACAGGGACGTTCTGGCTCTGTGCCACCAGTGTCCACTAAGGTTTTGCTCCTGATGTCACCAGAGCCACTTTGTAACAAATTCACGCTTGCGGCCATTCTCCTGTCCTGTCAGATGTGACACTCTTTCATTCAGCCCTCTGGCAAAGGACTACACTAGGCCAGTGGCCTCCACCCCTCCCCTACCTCTCCTCCACTTCCCCCTCCCCAGGGTCTCTGGAGGTCAGATTCCACCCCGTGGTTGTATGAGGCCATGGAGGCAGTGGGGGGGGCAGTGGTCACCCAGTTGTGATCTTCATAATAATATGCTCAATTCCTTCTGTTCCTATGCATCCGTATTTAAATCTGACAGTGCTTTCTGCACGAATGTTGCTGTACAAAACCCTAGAATTTCCTGTAGTTAAAATCTCAAATGATGCGGAGGTATCCAGCATTTCTCTTAAAATGTCTGCAAGGTGATTCAGTTTGATTTGTGTTTTTTAGAATTTCCTTGGTTCAAATATTGCCTCATTAGTGATGGGGGGGGGGACAATTTTGCACACCCCGCCCCGGGATGTGTGGCAATGACTGGATAGAGTTTTGACCATCATGACTGGGGCAGGGAGTGCTCCTGGCTTCTAGTAGGTAGAGGCCAGGGATACTGTTAAACATCCCACAAGGCACGGGACAGCCCCCATGCAGCCAAAGAACGATCGGGGTCTAAATGTCAGTAGTGCCTTGCTTCATCTGGACCTTGGCAGGTGTGAACCAACCCTGAATGGCTGAAATTTGCCCCGCTATCCTTTCTGCAGTCCAGCCTTTATATAGTTCCTATTATTGGAATCGAGCAGTCTCACAAACATATCTCCTTTGGCTTCTGAGACAATGAGTTTAAGGACACCATATTTTAGGGGCACAAACCGAGCAAGGCCTGTGGAATTGGAGTAACTCGCCCAGATCGTGTGCCGGAACTGGGCTTTGCCGGCTGCCTGCCCATCGGGCAGGCCTTTTCAGCCCCTCGACTGGGGAGTCTGCCACGCTGGGGGCTTGGGCCTGCTCGCAAGTGGTGTCCCGCTGCCGCCTTTGAGAGCCGTGGACCCCGGGACGTGCTCGGCTCCAGCCCTGCGGTGCGCGCGCCCCGTCCGCTTCTCACGCTCTCTCTGCCTTTCTGTCCGTGTGTCTCCCCAGGTAAAGATGAGCCTTCCAGCTACATTTGCACAACATGCAAGCAACCCTTCAACAGCGCGTGGTTCCTGCTGCAGCACGCGCAGAACACGCACGGCTTCCGCATCTACCTGGAGCCCGGGCCGGCCAGCAGCTCGCTCACGCCGCGGCTCACCATCCCGCCGCCGCTCGGGCCCGAGGCCGTGGCCCAGTCCCCGCTCATGAATTTCCTGGGCGACAGCAACCCCTTCAACCTGCTGCGCATGACGGGCCCCATCCTGCGGGACCACCCGGGCTTCGGCGAGGGCCGCCTGCCTGGCACGCCGCCGCTCTTCAGCCCGCCGCCGCGCCACCACCTGGACCCGCACCGCCTCAGTGCCGAGGAGATGGGGCTCGTCGCCCAGCACCCCAGTGCCTTTGACCGAGTCATGCGCCTGAACCCCATGGCCATCGACTCGCCTGCCATGGACTTCTCGCGGCGGCTCCGCGAGCTGGCGGGCAACAGCTCCACGCCGCCGCCCGTGTCGCCGGGCCGCGGCAACCCTATGCACCGGCTCCTGAACCCCTTCCAGCCCAGCCCCAAGTCCCCGTTCCTGAGCACGCCGCCGCTGCCGCCCATGCCCCCCGGCGGCACGCCGCCGCCTCAGCCGCCCGCCAAGAGCAAGTCGTGCGAGTTCTGCGGCAAGACCTTCAAGTTCCAGAGCAATCTCATCGTGCACCGGCGCAGCCACACGGGCGAGAAGCCCTACAAGTGCCAGCTGTGCGACCACGCGTGCTCGCAGGCGAGCAAGCTCAAGCGCCACATGAAGACGCACATGCACAAGGCCGGCTCGCTGGCCGGGCGCTCTGACGACGGGCTCTCGGCCGCCAGCTCCCCGGAGCCCGGCACCAGCGAGCTGGCCGGTGAGGGCCTCAAGGCGTCCGACGGCGACTTCCGCCACCACGAGAGCGACCCGTCGCTGGGCCACGAGCCCGAGGAGGAGGACGAGGAGGAGGAAGAGGAGGAGGAGGAGCTGCTGCTGGAGAACGAGAGCCGGCCCGAGTCGAGCTTCAGCATGGACTCGGAGCTGAGCCGCAACCGCGAGAACGGCGGCGGCGGGGTGGTGGCCGGGGTGCCGGGTGCGGGCGGCGGCGTGGGCGGCGCGGCCAAGGCGCTGGCCGACGAGAAGGCCCTGGTGCTGGGCAAGGTCATGGAGAACGTAGGCCTGGGCGCGCTGCCGCAGTACGGCGAGCTGCTGGCCGACAAGCAGAAGCGCGGCGCCTTCTTGAAGCGCGCGGCGGGCGGCGACGCGGGTGACGACGACGAGGTCGCGGGCGGCTGCGGCGACGCGGGCCCGGGCGGCGCGGTCAACGGGCGCGGCGGTGGCTTCGCGCCGGGCGCCGAGCCCTTCCCGGGCCTCTTCCCGCGCAAACCCGCGCCGCTGCCCAGCCCCGGGCTCAACAGCGCGGCCAAGCGCATCAAGGTGGAGAAGGACCTGGAGCTGCCGCCCGCCGCGCTCATCCCGTCCGAGAACGTGTACTCGCAGTGGCTCGTGGGCTACGCGGCGTCGCGGCACTTCATGAAGGACCCCTTCCTGGGCTTCACGGACGCGCGCCAGTCGCCCTTCGCCACGTCGTCCGAGCACTCGTCCGAGAACGGCAGCCTGCGCTTCTCCACGCCGCCCGGGGACCTGCTGGACGGCGGCCTGTCGGGCCGCAGCGGCACGGCCAGCGGGGGCAGCACGCCGCACCTGGGCGGCCCGGGCCCCGGGCGGCCGAGCTCCAAGGAGGGCCGCCGCAGCGACACGTGCGAGTACTGCGGCAAGGTGTTCAAGAACTGCAGCAACCTGACGGTGCACCGGCGGAGCCACACCGGCGAGCGGCCTTACAAGTGCGAGCTGTGCAACTACGCGTGCGCGCAGAGCAGCAAGCTCACGCGCCACATGAAGACGCACGGGCAGATCGGCAAGGAGGTGTACCGCTGCGACATCTGCCAGATGCCCTTCAGCGTCTACAGCACCCTGGAGAAACACATGAAAAAGTGGCACGGCGAGCACTTGCTGACTAACGACGTCAAAATCGAGCAGGCCGAGAGGAGCTAAGCGCGCGTGCGCGCGCCGGCCGGGCACCGCGCCCCTGTACAGTGGACCCGTTGCCAAGCTAGAGAATGCTGACCTGACACTTGCCTCCGTGTCCCCGCCACTTAGCCCCCCCGCGCGTGTCCCCGGGGCCCAGGGGAGGCAACCCTCCAACCTAACCTGTGTCTGCGAAGTCCTATGGAAACCCGAGGGTTGATCAAGGCAGTAAAAATTGTGGAGCCTTTTAACTGTGCAATAATTTCTGTATTTATTGGGTTTTGTAATTTTTTTGGCATGTGCAGGTACTTTTTATTATTATTCTTTCTGTTTAAATTCCTTTAAGAGATTTTGTTGGGTATCCATCCCTTCTT